AAAAAAAAAAAAAGAAAGAAAGAAAGAAAGTGAAAGAAAGAAAGCGAAAGAAACCTTAAAAAAAAAAAAGTGTTCTTTTTTAAACTAGGACTGGAGAGATAGCGCAGCAGCATAAGTGCCTGCCTGGCAAGCCCAAGGCCGCTAGTTTGATCCCTGGTATCAATCAATCAATCAATCAATCTTTAAAAAATTTTAAAAAGACCTACAGATGCTCTTCAGCTTCCAATAAGGTTATAGATATGTTGTGATGTTAAAGTATTGTAAGCCAAGACTGCATTTAATACATCTAGCCCGGGCTGGGGAGATGGCTCAGTGTAATAACTGCTTCCCTGGCAAGCGCAAGGGCCTGAGTTCAATCCCCAGTTCTGCAAAAATAAAATTAAATAAATAATAATAATAATAATAATAATACATCTAGCCTACCAGACATTCTAACTAACCTCGCCTACCTTGACCATGCTCAAAACACTTAGGTTAACTTTCAGTGGTGCAAAATTGTCTCACACAAAGCATATTTGTCCACAAAATGGTGACTATCTCATAATTTATCGAATACTGCACTGAAAGTAAGAAAAAAAAATGGTTGTACATGTTTTGGCACCATGGTAAAGTGGATTCTTAAACCGTAGTGAGACTGGGGCCTGTTGGTATAAGACACATTCGGTAAAGCAGTGTACCAATCCCAAATATATAGTTCAATTTGAAGTTTTATGTATAGAATCACCATGTATGGTGACAACCCTGTAGCTGCCACTCAGATCAAGAACAATGTAGTAGCCAGAAGTCTCTCTTGGTCTCCTCCTGGTTATTATCCTTACTCCAGAAGTAACTACTATTCTTTTTTGTTGTTGTTGTCTTGGTTTTGGGTACGGCATCGAACCTGGGATCTGGTACTTTTCAGACAGGTACTTATGCTGCTGAGCTATCTCCCTGACTCTTTCATGCCACGGGAGCCTAGAAGGTACTTGCAAGTGACAATCGGTTCAATACTTCTCACTATCCTGTAAGCTGTGGAGGTTGGCCGGTGTGTTTTTCAAGCATTCATTCACAAATTTGTTTTAGCTGCTCACCGTGCTCCAGAGAGTAACAACTGCTCTGATTACCAGTCACCGTATTCTTCTCTTTTCTCCTTCTGCAGTATATGCTCTATCACCCAGCTATAACCCCAACCCAATTTTCCTTAACATTAAAGAGAAGGAAATTTCAAATATATGTTTCTTGCTTTTTGTGCTCAAAATTATGTCCAAGAGATTCATTTCCATTGCTGCATGTTTCAGTGATTTGTTCATTTTTTATTGTTGCATATTATTCCTTTTGTGTGTGTAGAGGGGTGATTTTCGGGCGACAGGATCTCACTACATAGTCCAGGCTGACCTGGAATCTGCAGCAATCCCCTTGTCTCAGCCTCCCAAGTGCCGGGATTACAGGCATTCACCACCATGCCTTACTACACAACAAAACTGATTTAACCGTTTTATTGTTCATGAACATGTCAGCTTAGACACAAAGCATCTGGAATTCTCATGTTTTTTTTAAAAAAATATTTATTTATTTTTATTACATTTATTTATTATGTGTGTGTGTGGTGTGTGTGTGGCCAGCTCAGCCCACCAGGGGGCGGGTCTGGCTGGCATGTGGTGCTGGGGATCGAACCGCGGTCCCTGTGCTTTGGCAAGCTTGTTTCAAGTAGGTGCTTTAGACCACTGAGCCATCTCTCCAGTCCCTGGAATTCTCATGTTTTGTTGGTGGGAGTGTATGTTGCAACAACTGCTAAAGAAAACTGTCTGGTCTATCTTCGTTACAGTAACTCATTTACTGAGCATTTATTGTATGCCAGATAGAGTCTTGATTCATTTGCATGGTCTCACTTAATCCTCCCAGTACCTCCAGGAAGTAGAGCTTCGGCATCTGTGAAATAGGATCATCATGATAGGATTATTGTTAAATTCAACTGAGATAACACTTTGAAGGGTTTAACTCCAAAAGCCATTTTGGAAATGCTATCACAAAGTAACCAGCATAGGGTTGCACGGTCAGGTTTTGTGGCTGGATGTTGAACAAATCATCTGTTAGCTTGGCCTCAGAACGTCCCAGGGCACCACAAATATGCTAGTCAGGATCTCTGGGGAAGACATGAAGCACATTCTTTAATAAGCCCAGGCTCAGGGCCAGGGATATAGTTCAGTGGCATAAACGTCTGCCTGGCAAATGCAAGGTCCCAAGTTCGATCCCCAGTATCACAAAACAGAAAAAAACCCAGGCTCTGACTTAAGTGGCCACTGAGGGAGATGACACAGAGACTGTAAATGAGCATCAGTAGACTTTGGGGTGTTCAGAGCCCTCCCTTTCATGCCACTGGAGGATAGAAGGTACTTGCAAGTGACAATTGGTTTAATACTTGTTTCTCACTATCCTGTAGTGGAGGTTGACCGGTGTGTTTTTCAAGCATTCATTCACAAATTCGGTTTAACTGCTCGCCTTGCTCTGGGCAACAAGCCAGGAGAGGATGCCTCAGCCCGGGGTGGTGTCCAAAGCCTGTGCCTGTAGCCCCAGCACCTGGGTGGCTGAGGCAGGAGGATCACCGCAAGTTCGAAGCCAGCCTGGGCTACTAAGGAAGACCTTGTCTCAAAGAAACAAAACAAAAATCAAAAACTGAGCCCTATAGCAGTGAGGGTGAGACAAGGTAGGCAGAGGGATGAGAACACAAGGAACAAGACACATGGTAGCAACGTGAAGGAACTGGGGCAGGGCAGGAAAGCCCAAACTAAGGATGGTTGCCTGGGGATCCCATCCTTACAAAGGCCTCCAGGTGTGTCAGGACTGGCTGCGGGGGAGGGTCGTGTATGCAAGACACGCAGGAAGGTGCGAGTCTAGTTGAATAAATGAATAAACGATTGCACTCACAGATGAAAGGACACGTGGCCAGAAATAACAGCTCGTCCCCGGGGACACCAGGCCTACAGCTCTGAAGCCCTGGTTCCTGGCCCAGGCACCACGCGCTGCGACCTTGGGGACATCCACGCCCCGGACTCAGGGCCCGGAACTCTGCGTCTGAGGGGCGGAGAGGACGTGCAGGGAGGGACAGTGCGCGCGCGCGCGGCGGGCAGACAGACGGACTGAGGGACCGAGGGCGGGCACTCCGGGCCAGGCGCTTCCCTACATCTGCCGGGTCAGGCCCAGCGCGGCCGAAACCGCGGCTCCCCGCCGCGTTTACGCTTGGCGAGCGCCGGCCACGCGGCTTCTCGCAGCTCCCGCGCCGCGCGGCCCCGCCCCCAAGCCCTTCGGCCCGCCCCCGCGGAGCTCCCGCCAGACTTCTCCCGCGTCCGGGCCGCTCGGCCCCGCCCCCTCGCCGAGCGCGCCGGCCCGCTCTCCCGCGTCCCGCCCCGCGCAGGCCCCGCCACGGCTTCGTGGTCCCGCCCATCACGTCCCGCGTCCTGTCGCTCCGGCGCGCAGGCCCTGTCACTTGGCTCCGCCCCCGCGCGGGTTCAGTTCTTGAGACCCCGCCTCTAACCCCGCCCCATAGCGAGACCCCGCCCACATGTAGCCCCGCCTCCAGGCTCTCCGAAGCTCCTCGCTGGCTGGCGCCGCGGCGGGGGCGGAACGGGGCGGTGCGAGGGCGGGCCGGGGCTGGTTCCGCGCGCTGGGATTTTTAAATGTCCCGCTCTAAGCCGGGCGCAGGAGCAGCCGGCTCGGCCGCCAGCGCGGTGTAGGGGGCAGGCGCGGATCCCGCCACCGCCGAACGCTCTGCCCGTCGCTGTCTCCCGCCTCTCGGCTTCCCGCTCGCCTCCGGCCTCCCGCCTCGGCTTGTGCGCGCCTGCCTCTCGCGGACACGGTTTCGGGTGAGGCCCTTGCCCGGCCGCGGGGACTGGCGCCTCGGGCGGGGACTCTTGGGGCTCCCGGGCCGTGCCGGGTCGAGCCCGGGGTGGGGGTGGGGCGCTGGGTGTTCGTATCCCGGGGGCGTCAGCGCGAGGTGCCCGGGACAGGGTGCCTCAGAGATGGCTCAGGACAAGGTGCTGAGGGGAGACTGAGGCAGCCCTGGTCCCGAGGGGAGCGATGGGCAGAGAAGGAACTGAGGGGGCTGTGTGGGCCCCCTCCCCCACCTCGGCCTCGGACCCAGGACCGCGGGCTGCGGGCGCCGCCGCGGGTGACAGGCCACCCCGGCCCATCGGCCATTTTCCCGGCCGGCCCGGGAGGCTCCCGCCGCCACCGCCCGCGCGGGAGGGGGGAGGGGTGCTGGGGCGGGCGGGCGGCCGGAGCCCCCTCCGCTGGCGTCCTCACCCCGCTGCCCACCCCGTGTCTCCAGGCCTGAGGTTGGAGCTCGAGCCCTGCACCATGCCAAGGGAAAGGAAGGAGAGGTGAGTGGCTCGGCTGCCTGGGGAGGGGAAGGGTGCGCTCTGGTGGGGGAGGGGCGGGCCGAGATTTGGGAGCGCTCACCTCTACTTCTGCCACCATGGCTTTGCAGAGATGCCAAGGAGCAGGACATCTTGAAGGATGAAGGTGGCACCGAGCTTACCGTTCGCTCCAGGAAAAGGAAGGCAAATGTGGACATTGTGAGTACAAAGAAGACAGGTTAAGAAGTGTTCCCCCTTCCATCTTAACTTGGGTACCAGACTTGGGGCTGTCCACCAATATATTGATGGGGCTCAGCTTGCGGGGGGGTACCCCTTTGGCAGAAATGGCGCACAGAATCTAATGAAATGTCCCCCTTTTTCTTTCTCTGTTTTTGTCTTTCTTCTGTTTCCTTGGGGTGGGGGCTTTTGTATATTAGTTTTTACAGGACCCTGATGAAGAAGTTGCCAAAGTTGGCAGGACTGTGAACGACCAGTCTGGCAGTCAGGTAAGTCAGCTGGTGGACTGGTCCGCATGGAGGGCCTCCTGCTCTTCTGGGCCCTGGTGGGTTCATACTTTCTTGTCTGCTGCTGAAGATACTGTGGTTAGGGTTAGTTTTCTTCTAACTGCAGTCCCAGTCCACATGGCCAAGCGCCATGCCTGTCCTGCACTGTGGGATTCCAGGAAGGGCTGTGTTCCTGACTGGCGTCCTCTGAAGTTACAGATACGTTCTGATGCCTTGGGAGAACCAGAGAGGGCTTCTGGGCTCTCCCTTTGCCTGTGAGGAAACAGACTCAGGAAAAAGCAACTTAAAGTCCTGCACAAGCTAGGGGCAGCGTTGGCCTGTAGGCCTTCCAATGGCTGGTGAACTGGGGCCTCACCAGGTGAGGTGATCCTCTGCTTCATCTCATATGTAGCCGTGTTTTTTTAGTTGTGACACTTAAGGTCTTCCCATTGCCTTTAGATTTTATTTATGTTTATTTATTTATTTATTTATTTATTTATTTATTTAGAGACTGTCTCACCATACAGTTTAGATTCTTCTTGAATTGTGAAGCCCAGGGAGGCCTCAAACTCATTATAGTCCTCCTGCCTTGGCCTCCACAGCGCTGAGAATATGGGGCATGCACTACTACACCCAGCTTCCCATTGCCTTTAAGTCAAGCTTACCCTTTGTGGTCCTGAAAAGACCCTCTATCCCAGTGATGGCAAATCTTTTAGCACTTCCAATGTACAAACAGACCACTGCAACAGCCATGCCATAGGTTGCCACCTTTGCTCTAGTCGATCTAACAGTTACCTACCCTGGCTAGGTGTGGTGGCAACACCTGTAATGTCAGCACTTGGGAGGCTGAGGCAGGAGGGTCACCATGATTTAGAGGCCAGCCTGGGCTACACAGTGAGTTCAAGGCCAGCCTGAACTACATAGTCTCTTTCTAAAAATAAATATATAAGATTTAATCTAAACTGGGCATGATGGTACAGGTCAGTAATCCCAGCACTGTGGGAGGATGAGGCAGGAAGATTTTGAATTTGAGTCTATCCTATCTGTAAGTTAATAACAAAGAGAGACCTTGTCTTAAAAAACTCAAACCAGTTACCTACCTTGCTATTGGGGCTTAACATGGCCTTAGCAAGAGTATAAATGGGACAGTCTATAAAATGGGCATCTCAACACTTGTTTATTGATTACACTATTTCTCTTGTCCCTTAAGGGATTTCTGCCAAAGTTCTTGCATGTAGCCTGATATCGTTATAATACCAGAGGCTTCTTGCAGAGAGAGTGTATTATCTCTTTACCTCCAGAAGTGGCTGGAGAGTGTAGTTAGGGCTCTAGTGGGGGAAGTGGCCTGTCTCCAAACTAGCTCTTCTGGCCTTTTGCCTCTATTACAGATGAAAACTGAGCAGGAAGTGTTTGACCTGAGTGCGGTGTCCCCCTAGGTTAGCAAGGACAGCACTGAGTGGCAGCCATGACAGCTGCTGTGAAAGTAGGATAGGTTTCAAAGTGATGGCCACCTTGTGTGGTATACCGGAAGTCATTGTGCATACGGGTCTAGTAATGAGCATGTTTGAGGAGGACCCATTGAATATTGAGGAAGGGGTTGGTTTCCCTCTCTGTTAAGAAATGCTTCAGTGTAGCAAAGAATGAAATTGTGACTCCCAAGTTCTTTTGTCTTTTCCTTAAAAAGGCTTTCAAATCAAGCAAGTTGATTTTATAGATATTATAAAAGGAGTCCCTGCTTTGTAGAATTATAGATTGTTTTCCCAGCTGTGTTTTGAACAGCAACATCCAACCGAAAATGAAATGAAGCTGTCCGCATTGACTTCTTGGAGTTTTAGATTCCTTGAATCAGGGATAACCTGAGCAGTGCTTTGAGTGTCTAGGACACGGTGGCTCTGTGTCTGGACCAGACAGGTGATAGCTGTGCTATGTAACTAGCGTATTGTTTCTCACAAGAAGACATTTTCACAGCTGTCCAGAGATTAATGATGCCAGGTTGCTGCACACTTTGTAGGATACAGCTTGAAAATTATCTTATGAATTAATGTGCTTATTCTTTCCCTGTGGAGATTCCTGAAGCTAGACTTTGCAGGTACATCTTTTTTGCTAACTACACACAATTTTTCTCTAAAGCTCATCCCTGATCAAATTTTTAGTAGGAATTCTCATACTAAGTTCAGTTTAACAGCTTCTAGGCCACAGAACTTTTGATGATTCTTAATCTGAGGCCATTCTTAATGGAAGGAATGCCCTGTTACCTGAAATCTACCTCTCATGGCCATTTGTTGTCTAATTTTCACAAGGGACCCAGCGTTTTTATCTGAAGCAGAGTCCTAAACTGTTACATGCCTCTCAGAAAGTTCTATATAAAGAAGAACAGTGTCATAAGGAGTCAGAGATAGTTAGCAGTAGTCAAAGGTGGTCTCTTGCTTTTACCCCTTTCCTTCATCAGTAAAGTCACATCTTGGTTCCTTTGAAACCTGCTCTACAGCAAGCTAGAGCATAGACTTTGTTATTCTCCCTCATCCCCTGGCTCCTTAAAAAGCTGGCTTTGGGAGCCATTTTTCTGCTATGGTTCACCTAATTTGTCCAGGAGCTGGAGCTGGGGAAGGGCTGCCAGTTTATCTCCAAAGGCCTGCTCTCACACATGCCAGCCATCTGGCCTTGGAGGGTGGCACCCTTGTGCCTCCAAAACTAGAATTCATTCTTGAATGAGGAGCAGCTAGAGCAATTGTAATGTGAACCTTTTTGAGTCAAGGAAATGCTACTAACACACCATACTAAAACTGAAAGGAAGTTGCCTTTTGCACAGCTGTTGGCAGGAGCTATCAGGGATAATTTGCATGCCCAATTCTTTGTACAGTGAGTGGAGAAGAGTCTTTTCCAGCTTTGCTTTTTTTCACTAGGAGAGGTGATTTGGCTTCCTTTTGAAGGTGTCCTCTGTCCTGTGTTTGGGAAGGGGCTCTTAGAACTGGAGAATCCATGTTCATTTATGCTCATTCTAGTTGACTATTTAGCTCTCTGGTCAACATTAATGGTCTCTGATTCAGGAAGAAAATGACAAGTTCGCGATCTGCTTCAAGACCATAGAACTTTTGATGATTCTTAATCTAAGGCCATTTTTAACGGAAAGGATGCCCTGTTACCTAAAATCTATCTAGTGTTCACAAAGGACCCAGCATTTTTATCTGAAGCAGAATCCTAGACTGTTAAGTGCCTCTCAGAAAGTTTTGCATAAGGTAGAAAAGTGTCATAAAGAGTCACATGGTCAGCAGTTGGCAGAATTGGGACTCCCAGGCCTTCCGCACTAGCAGTAGTGTTATGTGCTTAACAATTCTTTCAGTCATTGTTTTACAGCAGAAATTATCCGAAATGGCAAAATGACCTTAGTCTTTTCCAAATATAGAAAACTGAATAAAAGCAAGTCTCTGAAATCTTCTAGAGAAAAGCATATTTTGATTTTTTAAAGATACCATAGTTCATTTATCAGATATGTAAGTCTTACTCTGTGAGGCTAAGCCCTAGGGTAGGAATCAAAGGTCTTCAGGAGTGTCTCTCTCTATGGGCTTCTTAATATGACCTGTGACCATTGCTTGATTTAGTTTTAACCAAGTGGCTATGCTTGCTGTTTTGAGTTAGGGAAAAACAAAAATCCCCATTGTATGGTATATTTGGCTCATCTTTCCAAACACCCAAGCTGTGTGCTTTATCTTACCTTTCCTGTGAATCTTGCTGTTCAAGCACTTCACCTGAAAGCGATGATGTGGAGGATAAAAGGCTAGCGATTTCCTAGTTTTCATAGGAATTTACTGCGTAGATTACTAAGCTAGTGACAGAAAGGAAAGGCAGGAGTCGTTACTGTACTGTGGCTTTTACATATCCATGTCACCTTCATCTTAGGCCAGGAAAAAGAGGTCTGGAGATCACTCCCCAGTATGGAGATACTTCTACAGTGCTTCTGATCTGCAAGTTAGTGAATGTACAGATAGCTGGTTTATATCAAACCTTTTACAATGTTTTTCGTTTACAGTCCTGGGACAATAATACAGCATGTGCAAACCCTTCCTTGATGCCCACACCTAACAAACAAGATGGTGAGCCAGAATATCCAAAGTCTGCCTTTGTGCCTCGGAAACCTGCCCCGCCACCCAGGGCCTCGCCGCTGCCTGTACTGGAGTAAGCATTGACCCTGCCGCATGGCCTCTGCTTTGTAGTCCATCCCCTCATGCCTTGTTACACACATGTACGTTGACACTTGATGGGGTTTTTTAACTTTTTTATAGCTGGGCAAATAGAGAGGAAGTTTGGAAAATCATGTTAAACAAGGAAGAGTCGTACATGCGCGATGAGCACTTTTTGCAGCGACACCCTCTTCTACAGCCTAAAATGCGAGCAATTCTTCTGGATTGGCTAATGGAGGTGAGTTCAAGATTTTCATTCACTGGGAGGATTGACCATTTCTAGATCTTTGTATGCTGTTATCTCTTGCAAGTGTGTTTTGGTTGATTCCTTCTGTACCTTCAGTATTTGTAAAGCTTCATGGTATGTTTATTGCAGTGGTCTTTCTAATGTTTTTACTTGATGTTTTTTGTCTTTTGGGGATCTTTGAGACATATAGCTCAGGCTGACCTTGAACTCACAGCAGTCTTGTCTTAGTCTCCCAAGTACTGGGAATACAGTCATGTGCCACCATATCCAGGTTTACTTGCACACTCTTTTCTGTTCTTTTGAAACAGGGTCTCACTGTGTAGTTCAGGCTGGCCTTGAACCTAATGTGTAGCTCAGGCTGACCTCAAACTCTCAGTTATCCTACCTCAGCCTCCTGAGTGCTCAGATTATAGGTGTGTACTACCACGCCTGGCTACTTGCATTCTTAGAAGAATTTTCTAAATTTCTTTACTCCTAAGATATTTTAAAAGTTGGCATCTGATTTTTTTTCCATCAGAGGCTGCAAAGGCTGGGTGCAGTGGTACACACCTGTAATTCCAACACTCAGAAGGCTAAGGCAGGAGGATTGCTGAGTAAGGCCAGTCTGAACCATACAAGATGACCCTGTCACAAAAATTAAGTACATAAACACAAAAAACAAATAGTGGACAGTACTATCTGTGCACCCTTTGGGGACTTGTCATTCTGAGGACTACTAGGCCCCAGTTGTGCTGGTCCCAGGATCAAATGGCAGGGCGGGCCCTTAACATCGAGGTGCTGCAAGGCCCGGCAAGACACTTAACTTTGAGTCTTAGTTTTCTCATCTATAATATTTTCTAGCAGTGTCTTCTGTTCAGAGTTCGCGCAGATTAGAAATGGTGTATGTAAAGGTCTTAATTCGTATATTTTCATTGATCCCTCAAAATACTGGTAAAACTGAAATCCTTGGCAGTCTACTTTTAAAGTACAGGCCTTCCAGTTGCTTACTGTGCAGCCTAGTCCTTGCCACAAGCGCTTTTGAATCGTTTGCATTACTGTGTAACTCCTGGAAGCATTAAATGGGCTTTGGGCTCACAGGGGTTACATGAACAGAGAGAAATAGTCACGGGCACACACTGCTTGAACACTGCCTAATCGAGCCATGAAAAATGCTGCTAAAGATCATATTAAAAACTGATGGTCTGGGGCAAAATCACCGGCCATCCAGAGCCACAGGTTGACATACCTGTAGCATATCTTAGTCCCGTAGGTTTCAACTCGTGAACATGAGTTGACCGAGGCTGTGTTTTATGTCACGTGGGCGATGCCTTTATACTTGGAAGGAACACTGTTCAGGTTTTTTTTTTAAGGAATATTTTTATAAATTGCCAAATATAGCTTAATCTGGACTTTAGAGATTGTGGTGATTGATGGGATTTTCTAGCAGAGTTCCATGCTTGGTTTCCCCGGCTCCTTTCTCTGTGCTCACCCATGGATACACTGACAGAGGACATCTTGTGTTCGGGGGTGGTAGTATGGTAGGAAACATTCTTTGAGAAAATTCAGAAATTTGGATTTATTTCTGTGTCTTATTTCATATAAATGATGCTTTCCCCAGTCCTTTATACCTTTCTTCTCCAGCCTATGAACCTTTGTTCAATCTTACTGTATAGATCAGAGAACACTTAATCCTTATGTGTGAGTTCTAGCTTCTCACTGTGCATGTACTTAGGGTCAGCCCGGGTACCCATCAGAAAAGTAGTTACCTTTCTTAACTCTCTTGATTGGAGTATTTTCTTTCCTTCAAGTAACTGTTCTAAAATATACTGAACATTTTTTCAGGTGTGTGAAGTCTATAAACTTCACCGGGAGACATTTTACTTGGCACAAGATTTCTTTGATCGGTATATGGCGACACAAGAAAATGTTGTAAAAACAGTTCTACAACTTATTGGGATTTCGTCTTTATTTATTGCTGCCAAACTTGAGGTAACTCATTTTTAAATATTTCTTATATAACATGTTCACATGTTCTGTTCCTTGACCTATATTGAGATAGAGAAGAGATCAGCTATT